TTAAGTTAATAATATTATTTATTATTATTATTATAATAATTTTTATTTTATTTAATATTTTTTTAAATTTATATATATTTTTTTTTAATAATTAAATATTATATTATAAAATTAATATAAGTATTATTAAAAATAAAAATTAAAAAATTACTTACTATTAATTAATAAAATTTGATTTTTATTATAAATATAACTATAATAAATATATTTTTTATATTTTAAATATTTAATTATTATTTTATAAAGTAATTTATTAACTTTATAATAAAAATAAAATATAATAAAAAATTTAATAGTTTTAATTATTAAAACTACTGTTTTATAATAATTTAATTTATTTTTTATATTTAAAAAATACTATTTAATAATACCCTTAAATATAATAAATATAAAAAAAAAGAAATTATAAAATTAAATTATTATAAAGTTAAATAATACTTTATATATAAATCTTAAAGGTAAAATTAATAAAAAAAAGTTTTATATTATAATTTAAAATAATAAAAATATATATTATAGCAATATTTTAAGTAAATATAATTAATAAAAATATAGTTTTTTTTATTTTATATTAATATATATTATAAAAATTATAAAATTAATTTTATTTTTATAAATGTAATAATATAAATTTAAATAAAAATAAAAAAATAATTAAATATATAAATTTTATTTATTACTTTTATTTAAATAATTTAAATAGCTAATTATTAATAAAATATTAAAACTAAATATAAATTAACTTTTTATTTTACTTTTATATATTTATAATTATAACTGCTTAAAAATTATTTTTTATCTTTTTTATTAATATAAACCTATAACTTAAGCTTATTACTTTAAGAACCTTTACTTTATATTAAAAATACAAATTAAAATATTATAGTAAAAATAAAAAAATAACTAAATATATAAATTTACTATATTATATTTATTTAAATAATTTAAATAATTAATTATTAATAAAATATTAAAACCAAATATAAATTATACTTTTTATTTTACTTTTATATATTTATAATTATAATTATTTAAAAGTTATTTTTTCTTTATTTTATTAATATAAACTTATAATTTAAGTTTATTACTTTAAAAACTTTTACTTTATATTAAAATAAAAATTAAAATATTATAATAAATTTATATTTATGTATTTATTTAAATAATTTAAATAGTTAATTATTAATATAATAATTAAATTTAATTTAAGTATTTTCTTATTAATTAATAATAAAATTATTTATTTATTAACTTAATTAACTGTAAATTTAAATTTATATTATTAGTTTATATTTTATAAATAATTAACTTTACTTTATTAAAAAAATATAGTTTATTATAGTTTATATTTTAATATTAAATATTTTTTTTAAAATTTTTTAATTTAATTAACTTTATTAAAAAATTATTTAAATTAAATAATATATTTTAAATATAATTTTTATTATTATAAATTATAAAACTCTTAAACAAAATTTTTATTTATTAATTTAAAAATATTTTTTTTTTAATTTTTTTTAAAAAAAATTAAATAGTTTTTAAATGATTTTTTTATTTACTATATTATTTATTTTAAAATTAAAAAAAAAAAAAAACTTAAATTAATTTTTAGTTAATTTTATTAAAAACTAAATATAACTTTTTTATATTTATTAACTATAATTTAAATATTATATTTAAAATTATATTTTATATTAATAGTAAAAGTAAAAAAAATTACTTATGTTAACTAATATAAAAATAAAACGCTCCAATTTATTTAATTTACTTAGCTAATTTCAGTGGAGCTGGGATGCAATTTAGTTATTACTCTGTACTTCGTAGCCCCCAGCACTTTGGTAGGGGGAGGATAGTTGTAATGTATCTATGCTAAATTTATTTTCGTATATACTTAGTACTAATCTCTATATTTGTCAAAGGGCTTCTCAGTCAATCCTACTAACTCCAAAAAATAGCAGAAAAATACAGTAATGCCGGCTATACAAAGAGCGCAGATTGATACTGTCAAACTTTCCTAACAAACTGGGTCCAGTTAGGTAAGTGCCTGCCCATACTTTCCCAGACCTCCTATTCAATGATAGGAGGGGCAAGGGGGGGTTGTGCCCTTAGCTAACTATTTCCTTAGCAAAGGCCAGGCCTTTTCAGCTGAGTTTTTCACCTGCACTATTTCCTAATTCAATTTGGGTGCTCCACTAGCTGAGAACAACCCACAAAATTGTATTGTTCACTCCGATCATCCGCGCAAGTGAACCTTGCAAGTTGCAGGGATTAATTTCTTTTGCCACACAGCTTGCATAGCTCCCCTGGAAATGCCCATTTTTAAGACTGGACTATTGCTTCGTCGACATTGGTACGAGTACTCCTAATAACCTAGTCTCAATAGTTTGTACACGTATCCACTGCTACAGCTTTCGCATGTTTGTTGGCCGTCGTTTAGAATAGGGTGCTGGATCAACTAGATGGGACACCGAAGGCTGAGGATAAATAAATCTGGTACTGCCTCCCGCTGCCATGGGCTCCTTCGGGTTTGTCAGGATTTCTTTCACCTTGAATTCCTCGTTTGGTCAGCATTCTCTGTCACTCCGTATCCCTCGGAACGAAGTCACTCTTTTTTTTCAAATATTAAAAAAGGCAGAAAGCCAGCCTGAAGATGTATACTGCTGGGTTCCTCGTCGTTGCCAGTCTCCTGGCCGCATCTGCCAATGCTTATCCCGAATTCAACGAGAGGAGAGATTGCTCCCACAACAACTGTCTCCGTGCTGTAAGTCAAGGACGACTTATCAGGATGCCGAAGGAAGAGTAGGTAGAGTATCTGAAGCTAACAAGGGGAATTCTAGGTTATCGCCAGCGCGGTCCCTGGGGGCAATGCGCGAGGCTCAGCTGACTGCTCCTCCTACTTCCGCAAGACCGTGACGGCCTCTGCAGCGTGAGTGGCTTAGCTATACCTTGATGTGAGAAAAGCATGGGGCCTAACAGAATGTTCTGCAGCACTGCGACCATTACCCTCACTAGTACCTTGACCGGGGACCCAGTCTATAGCACCGTCACCAGCGTTAGCGTTGTGCCTGTGACTGTAACAACAAGTGTGTGCACGGCGGCGGTGGTTACTGTAGTCCCTCGCGCAGACAAGCGAGAAGTCACTGCCGATGATCTCAATGCTCTGCCGGTTCATCAAGAGGTCCATCAGGTCCGCCATGCCCGTGCTTGCCCTGCCAAACCTCCAGCTTCCTCCACCGCCAGCACGTCTTCCACTACCGCTGCTGCCACCAGCACATCTTCCACTTCCACTGCTACCACCACCACCAAAGCCACCACCACAGCGACCCCCGTTTCAGGTATTCCCACATACGCCTCAGCCTGCGGTGGCGTTTCTGCCTACTCGTCCGCGTGCTCCTGCAATGGTATCCCGGAGTCTACGGTGACCCTTCCCCAGGTCACCAATACGGTCACCGCATGGGCTAGCCAGACTGTCATTCCGACCTCAGCCACGACCGTCGACATTGTGTCCAGCTCCACCACCACTGTTACCATTGCCGCGAATCCGACCATCCTCGGCCCATCGTTTTATGTTATGGACGCGGCGAATGGAAGAACTCTCGCTGCGGGGGGCAGCGGTCTCCAACTCATTGAAAGTGCGAATTCTCATGCACCCCTCACTATCAACGGCTGTGGGAGGGTGGCATCAGCCGTCCTGACGAACAATTACCTAGTTTCCGCTGGTACCGGCAGCGGTGATGAAATTTCCTTCGCCACCAACCCGTCTAGCGGTTCCATTCACTGCACGGTCCAGAACCCGTCTGTCCCCTCTGGTTCGTTCACTTGCCAGAGCGACAATGGCGTGGATACCGTCCTCAACGTATGCCCCGGGAACAACGTCGTCCAACTCAGCTCGGCCCCCATGGCCGGCTGCCTGCAGCCTGATTTCACTGTCGTCCACACCTAACGATGCCGATCAGGAGTTATCGGAAGTTTGAGTAAACGTGATGTGTTATGTCGCATTATACAGCTTGCATGGTATACATAAAGAACAATATACCTACCTAATTACATTTATGTTGCACTTGCTATTCCACCAGGATTCCAATATGTGATCTCTGACAATGATTGATGCCAATGAAGTGAAGTGTTGGTTCGGCTCCGCTCTGCGCGGTCACCACCCATCCGCAGCCTCGATATAGCTTTGGCCAGTATCCCAAAACGCCCAAGTTCCAAGATTCCGTTCGGATCCAGTGTATCTTTCAGCTTATCGTTGAACTTCATGAGTAACAGTCGTTCCATTCCTACGTGCGCACCACCTAATCCATAAGTACCAGATGCGTCCTATATTTCCCAAACCCCAGATTCAAATCCTAAATTTCTATTAGATGAAAGAAGATAGGCGAGAAACATAATATAGCTACCCTTCATAACCTAACCCTTTATAAACTTACTGTAACTAGCCAATTCTTAAGCTTTGTTTTCCAAGCGCATCTACGTACCCTTAAAGCTCCGTTAGGTTTTGAAAACATAGTTAATATTTACTTTCGTATTTCAGACTATTAAGGCTAGACCATTCCCAAACGGTTACGCATTTTGTCAGCCAGTGTCTTCATTCTTAGGTCAGAAGGTCCTAATCTTTAATTCTGAAGAAGTCATAATAAAAACCTTAGTCAAAATCAAGCGAACTGCTGCAACAATAATAACATTATAGGGGCTAGCGTCCTTAGTAGTAAAGACAAAGGTAAGTTATTTTTTCCTTATAACAGAATTTATTTTCAGCTCTTCTAAAAGATTCTTAGGTTTCCAATAAAGGACAAGGTAATAACTCGTAATTTAACATTTCCTATGCTATTTAGTATAGCCTAGTATATCACCTGTAAACTTCTAGCTATATTATATAATTCTACTAACTTTATTCCAAGATTCACGCTGACGGCACATTGTCGCTCTGTAATCTTACAGCGTTTTCTTCTGCTAGGATGTTTGCACTTCTTTGACGTGCCCATTCTTATAGCTTGGTAAAATTTCGACAAGTATAAACCTGTTCAAAGTCTGGAATAAGCTTTTTTCTTAATTCAGACCAGACGTCTGGAATAGGTGTCATATCCCCATTGCACATAATAGCTTTGCGAAGTGTATCAATACAGTGATCTAATTTGAATTCTTAGCAAATCTTAACATCCCTTTTCATTTAAGTGTCAACAACTGTACCGATATGCAACATTAGATCCGGCCTTTTTTCTTTGGGATAAAACTCAAGATATAATGCCTTTCGAATCATATTCTATTTACTATCTCATCAGGATCATCCCGTTTTTATTTCATAGCAAAAAATATATGGCTTACCAAGCAATGTAGGTCGTAAAACACTTCGAGGCTAAACGAGGATTAACTTGATTGTCCGAGTCTCAGATGTTGTCTAATAGCCTACTTTACTTCGTAAAGATTATACTCTTCTACAAGGTAAATATCGTGTCCGACATATTCTACCTCTTCCTAAGTTAAAAATAAATCTTATGCTAAATTCATCCACGTCAGCCTTTGAAAACATTCCCATATCTATTTCTTTTCTCACTCCAAATAATATCGCTCTATACTCAATCTAATACAGGGTCTAGTTTTCCGACATAGCAAGGCTCTTTTAGATCAAACGTTCGATATAAGGTCCCATTATTATCAAATCGAAGTCCGCTTTTAAACTTTATTAAGACTGTTTCAATCACTGCCCTAGCAGGTTCTATTAGAGTCTTTATTAGCTCTTACCTATTTAAAACATTTACAAATGCTAATACCTAGGTCTGTCAAAGTGTAGGCAGCGGCCCCGTTGCCTAAAGGGTTTATTAAATATAAATGCAATAGAGTGTTCAGAATCAAAAAAATAGCTAAAAAGGCAAGATAAAATAGACCTTGTGCTCTCCAGAACTTCTGACAAAGTGTTCTATCTGTTGCACTTAAACATCGATTCCAATTTATTGGCGATGGTTAGACTTCATCTTCTAATAGTCGCAAGGCCTCAATATTTTCAAATTATTCCAGTTACATAACTATATTAAATAAATGAAAAGTAAAGTAAAAAAAGCAAATGGAATTAAGAGGTCATTTGCAAGAGAGATAATTTAATTTACATTACAAAGGGAATAATATGCAAGGAAGAATTTATATTATAAATACAAAGGCACATATATAAACAATATAAAAGCGCAGTGGGGTTATTATAAAATATAGCTTCGTTATATGTGGAGACGTAAACTAAGGTAAAATAGCTTACAGGCTGTATTACTGACCTATATTAAAGCCAGTAAAAACTTTAAATATCTTCTCCAGTTACATAAAGCATTAATTTCCTTTTTTCCTAGGTAGCCTTTTGTATTTACTAACATAGCATAAAGTTCTTAGTAGTATGTTTAATCTTAGTTTCTGACAAATTCAGCTTAAAGAATTTTATTACAACCCGTTCCATCGTAACAGTTAAATCCCTTATAAGCAGCTGGTTCCGTTACAATAATCACTACAATTGCGATTATTAGCCTAATCTTTTGCCCTGTTGGCGCTACAGTATAACGGAACGTAATAAATTTCCTATATACTTTTATATAACTAATCTATAAGGACTTATTTCATTGAAAGCTTTATATTCATTATCTCACACTTAAGAAATCAACCTAATCTAAATCTAATAAATATTAATCTGCTAATATTAAATAAAAAATTTAGGTTATCACGAAGAACTTTCCGTAAATAGACAGCTGGTTAGCATACACCTTACAAAGTCAGATTACCGTTATAACCGACTCGGCGCAATACGCCATTTAGTTTCCTAGAAAAATACGAAAATGTACTAGGTAATTTTAGTCTCCAAAGCAGGTACTTCACTCAATGCTTCGTAAAAAGGGCTAAATATTACTTTTGTTTTGGCTTATACTTATAGATGTTAAGTATAGTTTTGTAGAGTTATGTGCCCGATTGGTACCTAACATAGGATTAAATTTTTATACGTAACCTCATAACAAGTAGACTTCAGTAATCAGTATAATTACGCTGTTTATATCTATCTATGTAAGAGCCTACAATAGCCAGTTAAAGTATATCGGAATTGAATTGGCTCCGTGTTAGTACTTCGTATCAGCCTCTCCCTCTTTAGCTGGCTTAGCATTCGTATCATATTCTCCCTCGGGTAAACCGCATAACTCGAGACTGGATCTTATACCTGGAGACATACATTTAAGCACATAGTTATAGTTGAAAATTTACCGTCTCAGCACTTCAGCTAAACATATATTTTCAAAGTATTCAGTTTCAGCTGTAGTATGTTTAGTAATCCCAGTGGTATGTTTAATAATCCTGGTGGCAATACCTAGACGGTGGCAATAGTATCCATATATTGACTGGAGCACGCTTGCCTATTTTAAAAAAGGCACCACAATAGTCCTTTCACAATCGCTGCAGAAAGCGCGCTGGTTGCAACTAGCTGCAGGGTGGTTTAGCGTACACCGCGTTGCACAATACCTAACAAGGAACAATCACATCGTATTCTTCTCTAGATGCCATAATACGGCTCGCGTCGCTATACAAAGCAACGCATCCTCTTCCTTCGGCTCTTCGTAAATACCAGCTTCCTGATCTGTAACCGACTATAGGTGCATCTTCCCCTTTAATTTAGCTACACCATTATCTCCGGGCGTTCGACCCTAGAAGAGATATAGACATAGATGAGACAATCGAATTCATACATAGGTCGTAGGAGCTAGGTTAAGACAAGATTATCGCAGGCATTCCATCTCACACAGTACATTACAGTATAGAGTTGAGTCTTCGCCGCCTGCCACGCAAATCTAAACTGCGGGATGTTGCTTGTAGAAGGAACTTTTGTATCGGAGTATGCAAAGTAGCTTAACAGCTCACAATAATGTCCTTGTGCCATGCCATAGAGTTGGCTGGCAGTGCCGGGATACACGACGGGTGGGCGTTTATATAAAGAGCCTCGTCTGCCGCAGCTTAAGGATACAGAGTATGTGTAGCTTTCTCTACTCATAAGTACTTCAAACATCTGAATCCTGACTCTTTCACCTCAAAAAATATCACCTACGATCTATCTACCGAGGGCAACGATAACAAAATGTTCCCTCTTACAGCTGCAATTGTAGCTCTGGCTCTAGCAGCCTTCCCTGTGGCTAAGGCGCATCCCATTGCAGAGTCAACACATAACGTTGTAGAGTCTATCGTTAAGTAAGTTATATTAAAAGTTAAAGAGTATATAACAGTGACTAAATAATCGATGCCAGGCCCCGAAGCTCTGTCGTTGTCGAATTTTGGGCAGATAACAACTACAAGGGGTCCAGCTGGGCGTACAGCGGAGACTGGAATCTATGCCAGAACATCCCTGATTACCTCAACGACAAAATCTCTTCGATTAAACCCCAGTACACCGACGGCTGCGTATTCTACAACGACTGGTACTGCAGTAGCTACTCGTTCAAAAGCACTAGCGCGCTTTCATCCCTTCAGTCTCCGTTTAACGACGCCATTAGCTCTTTCCTGTGTTTCCCAAGCGGCAATAGTGGCAACTTCCTTTATGGCTGATTCAATTGATTAGATCATTATGTAGTTATTCTCTTCAGAAGTCCTAGAGGGAGGTTAAACGGGACCGGTTCGCAGTGCGGAAATAGCTAAGGTAGATTGATATATTGGCATGGAATTTACTTCCTATCTTGGTTCAAGCTTGCGGATTTTATACGTACATACATATATATATATATCTCTATATATATACTATAGTAAATTTTTTAGATTACGGAAATACTCTACAAGTGTTTAGATTGCTAGGTGTGGTTTAATTTAGACCTGCTTCTCCATATTTTAAAGTACTTATTGAAAGGCTGAAGTGGGTTTGTCCCCACGCTTAAATTGTCGTATTCAGGGCAGAAAAGCGGGTCCCAGACTTATTTATAAAAAAGATATTAGCGACGAAACGGAAGCAGAAAAACAGTCCTGTAGAAATACTAAGATATCTCAGGACAATAATAACAGGCAAAATCACATTTTCTAAGTTTAGATCTAAGGATCATTAACTCTCCATTCTTCTAAAGTTAAAATATACCTAAGTTCATACCAGTATTACTGATCTGTAATAATAACAGAGACTAAACTCTTAATCTAGATTTATATTAGAAAGTTTACGACTAGCCTCCAAGCAAAAGATTCTGCAGGGTTTTTAGCACCGGGAATATAAGTTAAGGGTTTATGTAATCGCCATATAATCCGTATGGACCTTTATAGCGTAGTGTGCGCTTTCTAAGCATACTCTCCACCTGGTGACTGTATAACAATAGCAAAGAGCTCTCGTTTTATAATCGTATAGTTTTATTCGACAGGAGAGAGCTCCTTGGATGTAAGTGCAATACCGTGTCCTTCCTAAAGGAGCCTTACGCTAATCCCAACAAGGGAGGCGTCAGGAACAATCTCTGATTATGTATCAGGTGCAAATTTAGTCAATTCAGGCGCACTCTTTATCCAGCACTAGCGGTCTAGCTCCCGAAATAACGAGACTAATCCACATTACGACCACTGTATTCCCTTGCAACGCAAACCTAGACTGTAGATTTCCCCAAGTTCTTAACTATAGTTAGTAATAAGCTACCTGTGGATATATAATAAGCAAAAATAAAAGAGACCCACAGTCGAGTTTTTACAAGGGAATACGGTAATACTCCAAACAAAGAGGCTTACATAGCAGCTCCAATTTATAAATCTGTCTTATAGTTGGTTCATCTACACTTAGCGCACTTAGCTCCCCCTCTTTTTTTCCCTATCTACTTGCCGCTAACTCTTATCTTAACCCTAGTTATTTACAACTTAAATCATTGCTTTTACGCACTTCGCTTAAATTTTCATCGCTTTATAATCTAACGGGTTAATTACCGCCAGCTTATCTCAGAACTCTTACATACTTCAACCCGCGCCGATAGATCATCGCTTCTACAAGCTTACTTCACTCTTCATAGCCTCATAACGGGTTAGCTACCATCAGCTTATCTCAGAAGTCTTACATACTTCAACCTATAGAAGAAGAAGACAGAACGTATTATTTACGGCTATTTAAGCTTATTATCTAGGGCTTCATACCCGGAGATATATTCCAGTATGTCTTTATATATCTTAGTTAAATCACGTATCGCTACACTTATGCTTTCCACATTTCTTCAGTCTAACTATATGTTTCCTTAGGCTTAATTATCGACATCTTATACGAGGTTAATAAAATTCCGTCGCCTTTATAGTCCAATCCATCACCTTGCTTTAAAAGGAGGAGGCTAGTAAACAAATCAAGTGGCTTGGTTATGTAGATCATTATCCAGAGCCCTTTTCAACTAGACTTATATAAGGACCCGATCTAGCTCTTCGGGTTTGCCTATAAAGGGTATAATCGCCGAGGTGCTAACGTCTTTTGCTTTATTATTAACCGCTATCTGACTTATATCTTTATCTAAGTCTAAGGGTTTAAAAGGAGCTAGGAGGACGTTGTGTAGATGTCTAGCTTTGGATTTGACTAAGCTGGTCTCTAAAGGTTTACTTAGATCGTTAAGAGGCCGTATCACCTGTCTTTGAATTTCTGGAAGAGAAGGCAGGCTCTTCTCTAACTTCAGTTCGCTAAGCTTCAACATGCCAATTTCCGGGAAGTCTGGCACCATTAAATAATACATCAATATAAAAGTAAAGCAAGGACAGTATATAATGATTTATATATCTCACGGGTTAAAAGCAGTTCGGGCCTACAACGCTGTGACTATATCTGGGGCCACAAGCCCTAACATTTAGTTATCCTCTAAGAATCTCCGAACCAGTTTACAACTGATTACTATACGCCAAATTTGTTATTATCTCTGCTTTTAGTGATTTCATTTCTACTGAACGAACTCTGTTCCTCTGTCTCAGTCCCACCCACTTATTTTGACGACCAAGTGCAATGTAGGAATTCTCTGTTTCTCCGCATATGCATCCAAATTGGTTATAGTTGTCCTTTCTCAACTAGATGCCTATTACTCCTCATAATATTCTGCCGGCATTTGGGAACTAAGATGCCATAGGAAGTAGCTCCAGCTGGCCTCTAAATACAGATTGGCCCATCAGTGCCGCTAACCACCATGTATGGAACCACTATGACGTCCTTAGAGCCAATTTAGCTGCACAAGTACGTGTAGCAGACAAGCTTCTCAAGCATGAAACCCTCTTTGTAAGGACCGATAGTTCCACCAGAAGATGAATTAGAGTAGCAGTCACCAATCGCGTTTCCGTCTTTGCTTCTATCCTAAATGTACAGCTTGTAGCTGCCGTCTGACTGCTTGTAAAAGTCGAGGCCTTGCACACCGCAAAAGTTGCTCGCATAGCGCATGAACATCTGTGAACCACCAATAGCTCCCTGAATATCGGCGTTCTGTGAAACAGCGTAGTCGATTCTAGAGCAGCTGTATTTGTTGGATGGAACCGGATACTTTTGAGTAGATCCCTGATGTTCGACGATGTGGAAATCTGCTGTGGCAAAGCCTATAAGCTGGGTTGCTAGGCACAATGATATAGCTAAGAACTTTATTTTGTTTTAATAATGACGACGATGGGGCTAGGTGCGTAAGTTAGGATACTATAAGCCTAAGGGGAAATATGGCTTAACTAGCAAGAGGATGGTTAACATACTGATAATTTAGTGTTAAGACAAATGTAATAAAGGCTACTTGCTAAATTGTGAGAGATACGAGGGCTACTATGGTCCTTAAATAGATAAACTATAAGCTAGGCAAAAGAGTTGCATTTTCCCATCTGCTATGAACGAGCTCTGAGCTAAGACTTGCTGCATAGAATCCCCGTACTAAAGAGATGAAAATCTTTATCTCTTATATCGCCAAGATATATTGTGGATATAAAATGCAATACGAGATCTAGACTGAGGACCTAGTGTAATGTAACGGTGTATCCTGACATAATAATTTATAGACTTACGGACTTCCTGAGAAGGAATAACCTTAAGAGGATATTTGAACGCTAAATAATTGCTGTTGCTCCCTGTTAATGGAAGGGGACAATTATTAAGGTAAGTTAGTCGTATTAACGAGGGCAGGCTATCCTTAGCGTAGGATAATACTTTTTTGGTTACAGGGGGGCTCTATCCGTTGACTTACGCTGAGTTTTAATTAATAATCGATTTCACTTACTATTTGGTATAGCTTGTATATGTATAAAGAAAGGATTCAATTGGTAACGCCGTGTGTTCTGGTCCATAGATTTTACACCAGGCTATTATGTTGGAAGGGAGGTTGGGTGTAATATTATATTTATTAAAGGTCTTAGTTATTTAAATATAAAGTTAAAGGCAGAACCTTTTATATATATATAATCTATAAAATTTAATAAAATAAATTAAATAAAAATTATTATATAGTTAATACTTTTACTTAATTTAATTTATTAATTTAAATTACTTTATAAATATATATATTAATTTATAAATAGGCTTTTTATACCTTTTATAATTAATTTTTTTTTTAATTTTTAATAAAAAAAAGTTTTATAAAAATATAAAGTTTTATTATAAAATAAAAGGTTTTAACTTTTACTTAAGTTAATTAATTAAAGTTTATTAAATTATTTTTTTTTTATTTTTATTATTTTTTTAAATTTAATAAAAATTTTTATAAATAATAATTTAATTATTTTATTTATAATTTTATTAATTAATAAAATATATTATAATTATATTTTTTATTTTTATATTTATTTATAAATTTAATAATATTATATATTAATATATTTTATATAATTATAAAATTTTAAATTTTATATAAAATTAATATTTTTTTAATTATTTATATAAATTATAATTATTTTATTTATAAAATATAAAATAAAAATAATAATTATAATTAATTTTTATATTTAAATAATTTTTTTTATTATTTATATTTAATTTATATATTTAACTTTATAAATAAATAATATAATAGTTATATATTTTTTTAATAATTAATTAATAATTATAAAGCTTAAGTTAAAAATATAATTATAAATAAAATATTAATTAATTTTATTATTTATATAATTTATATATATATATATTTATAATATTTATAAATTATTTTTATATATTAATATATAATTTATTATATTTTTAAAATAATAAAAAATTTATTATATATTTTATTAATATAATTCTTTTAATTTAATAATAAAATAATTATAAAAAAATATTAAAAATATAATATTAAATTATATATTTAATATTACTTATATAATTAATTTAAATTTTTTTTATAATTCTTTTTATTTTTAATTATATTTAATTTAATATTAATATTTAAAAAG